GGTTTGTATACAACTCCATTTCCCCCAATAAGTATATATATATATATATATATATATATATATATATATATGATACCATCGTAACAGTCATTGACTGCAAGATGGGTGCAGATGAACAGCGTGGGTTAGAGTGTTGAAAGAGCATACTGGACTTATCATTTGTGTTTTTTGTTTATTACATTTTATTTGCTTTCATTAATAAACATCAATGAACATTCGCAACAGGACTGCATCTTATTCCTGCGAGTCAAGTCGGAACAGCATCTCCGCAAAACAAAACAAGAGTTTTACCAGTCTTATTCTCCTCTTGAGATCTTATCAAATATTTAAGAGCTAAACCGAAACCTAATTCACTGTTTGCGTAGGATTGAACATTTCAGAGGAAAGGAAACTTATGGTTCTGTTGGAACATGATGTCCCAGCCAGTGTGTGTGGGTGCAGGTAATGCTAATGAACCACACCTGTAATACTTTAACGGATATTTTGTTGTAACAAAACCATATATATATATATGTGAAAAGATCATAGAAACTAATATTGGCCAAGTTTTTCCATGAACATTCCATCCTCACCACTGAATGGAGGTAATACCTAAATCATTCCACAAAGTATAAGAAAGATTTTCTTTCTTCTGCAGAACATAAAATATGCTTTAAAGAATGTTGGGGCCCAAACAACATTGAACCTACAGTATACTGGCTTTCCTTTTATGGACAACTAAAGAAAAACACACACACACATGCAAAACATAGAGACACTTTTCAAAATATCTTCTCTTGTGCTCCATAAATGTTAAGTCAAACAGGTTTGGAAAAAACATGAGGATGAGCAACTGAAAACAGAATGTTCATTGTGGGGTGAACTATCCTTTTAAGAAGGTTGGTTTGAGCAGACTTATACATTCCTTGTAATTCCTTATTAAAATGGCCTTTTTCATTAACTCCAATGTAAATTATGCAAGCTGAAGTTTCTCTTTCTAGTAACGTATACTTGTTTCAACTTTCATTTGCTCATAAAACCCTCCCCTTTAAAAAGCTATAAAATGAGCACTGAAACAGACGTTATTTCATTCTGCTCCTGATCAAAGATGGATCTGCAAATCTCAGTATTTCTTCTGTTCGTTCTCTTCACTGCAGGTACAAAGACAAATAATATTTGTAATGTTATTGAGTACAAATGCAGATTATTGATGTCTCTCTGTTTTATTACTAAAGGACACTCTTTCAGCTGTTATGAGTGTATGGGTCTGACGGGTTCTTGTGCGGATCAAAAAGTAAAAACATGTCCCAGTGGAACTTCCAAGTGCATGAGTTTAACAACAGCTGTACAAGCTGGTAAGTCCAATATGATGGATTTAAATTCACTGTTATATTTGACTGATGGAGATACTGGTGTTTTTACTGGTGCTGCTTCACTGGAAATATAACTTCTCACAGAACTGCTAATTTCCTAACAGAATTTATGATTGTAATAATCACAGAATACTCTGTTTAGATTTCTGCGGTTTAATTAGTTTTTCTCCGATTGTTATGCTAACAATATAATTTGTATTAAAATTGAATCAATATTTGAAATAAGAAAATGCTACATTTTGACATTTATAAATATATTTTCTGTCAAAATAATGTTGAACTGGTCTTTCCTGAATCATTCTTGTTTTCAGGTGGCATTAGTGCTAAAGTGAAGGGTAAAGATTGTGCTGCTGACTGTGCAAGTGGATCTATGAACATCGGCATTGGAAAGACATCTTTAGCGTGCTGTAACACAGACCAGTGTAACGTCCAAGACGCTCCAGGTATTGTGTGATTTACTGACCATATGCAAATGATTATCTTTAAGGTCAACACTAATTTTTCTTCCAAAGGACATTCAGTCAGGAAATACAATGCAGGGTGCAGCTTGTCAGCTGTGAATTGATTGAATGGAGCAGTTAACAGAGTGTTATTTCATTAGATTTAATATTTTGCACAGAAAATAAAATAATACATGTTTTCGTCCTATAGATCCCTCTAGTGTCCCCAATGGAAAGACGTGTTACTATTGTGATGGACAGAACTGCTTAAACACAGTGAGCTGTTCAGGGAGTGAAGACAGCTGCTTTAAAGCAACAGGTGAGAATCTGGAAAAGAAAGAAGTCACGATTTTTATTGCTCTAATGATTGAGCATTTGATACAGATCACATTTACTCATTTCCAGCTTAGACTAACCTCTGTTTTCTTTCTTTTCATCAGGGAGTTCTGGAGGCCAGTCAGTGGTTGTAAAAGGCTGTCTCTCTAAATCTATTTGTGATGCTGCTACATCAGTTGGTGATGTTCAGGGCGTCTCGTGTTGTTCGGGGAACCTGTGTAACAGTGCTCAGAGTGTCACTCAGAGCTTCCTGTTCCTCTGCTGTTCTCTGCTCTCCTTCATCCTGCTGCACTGAATCCAGCAGCTCGACACATTCTACAATGAGACACGCTGTACTGAATATAGAGCTGATATTTTCTCTGTACAACACATCTTTTGTGTCCTGATATGATTTTTTTTTTTTGCTGTGACATTCTGATGTGACATTTCTTTAAATAAAATACTACATTACCTTGTTTCTGTGGTTATATTTAATATAGCTTGTCATGCTGTAAAAAAGTCAGAAATATATATTACAGAAATAAAAATATTTTATATGACCATTATGTTCAGAAGAAACATGTATGATAATTATTTCATTATGCAAACAAGAATATTTTTTCTTTCTTTTTTTTTTTGTTAGTTTTAACAATATTTGGATTCCCACGATCAGGAATCCTGTTCAATTATAGGTCATGAAAGCAATAATTGAGATATTGATTAGCTAGATATTGTGTAACTATAGCATGAAAAGTCAGAAGTATAGTTGTAATACATCATGCGATCCACATTTCACAATTCGATTTCACAACTAATGCCGTAAACTGTACATGAAACCTTCTCACGTGACTCATTACTATAATATTAATATATATTTATTGCCATTTGTCTGTAAAGGTTAAAATTAACAACAGAGCCCAAACTATCACATTCAATTGCTATTTATTTTCAGATATAATAATCAACACTCAAAAATTGTACATGAACATTTAAATTGCACATAAGGCAGGTTGGATGAAGGCATGAACTGATCTCCCTAAACGAGAAAAGCTGAAAATGTCTGCCAAAATACTGAAAGTAATTCACAACAATGAACTTGATGATATTGAGACAGACATTAATTTTACTGAAATCATGAAAAAAAGTTTGTCTGTTTTTTAAATTCGATTTAAATATACTGAGGAGCATATATTTAGCAATATATTCCATTCTAGAGTACTTTTTTTATAACAAACGAGCTGTTGACTCTGAATCACTTTACTGAGGTAAAACTAATACTGTTTTATTGACATCTTTCAGAGATTGTCATGGGAGTAGAATACGAGTGTATTTTCATAACTCTTTGAACAATATTCACCTCTGAATTATGCACTATTTCAATAAATATATTTATTCACACCGGCTCTTGAAAACCTCTATGCGAACACACTTGCCCGAAAAAGTGCGGGGGACGAATTTACGTGATATTAAAAGTGGGGGGGACGTCCCCCGCGTAATCTACGCCCCTGGGTAGGGTTAGGGTACGTGTAGGGAGGGCTTTTGTCCAAATAAGGTGGCATCCATTTAATAATTTGAATTAAAATGAAAATTTAGACTCAGTAAGTTATTATTGCATACTGTTTTATAATGTATTACTCGGGGGCTAGGCAGAGGGTCTAGAAGAACCGCTGATTAATGTTTGAGTATTACATGGGTAACTGTAGGGGGCTAAACAGACCTACTATTTAAAGTATATTAAATAGTATTAGCCACAAAACCTCTGGCTAAGGGTCAGACTGGCGAGTTTGTGATCGTGGGGCCCACGCGTAGCGGCCGCCGTGAGGCATCCTAAATGACCTCCGAACCGAACCGAAAAGACCGAACCGAAGACCGAAGAGACCTTCAGCCGCCACTGGATACCTTCCTTGGGCCATGTGCGCGGACCTTACACGCGTTTCTTTTGTACGTGTAGACACGCAGATTTTGGCCATTTTTGGACATGAAAAACAACCTGCGGCAACAGTGTTATAGCCCAATTCCACGGGAAAGCCGTGGACTTGGCAACACTGTGACAGATACAATGGACACGAGCGCTGTCGCGGCGCGAGATGCGCGACCACAACAACTTGAAGTTATCTAATTTGACATGGTCTCCCTGCTACACTAATAGTAGTAAGGCTTTCCTCTGTGTATACATATCCTTACAAGTACAATTTTAGCTGTATTATTTGTGTCCCCTTCAAAAATCGCTCTTGAGAAATTTTATGTTTATTTATTGTCCCCCCCAACTGTTAGATGAAATTTATGCCCCTGGTCGGGGCAGTCGTGGCCTGATGTGGCTTGATGTAGGCGGAAGTTAGGTTTCAAAAGATTTAAACATCCAGGATACGCACACGAAGTGACATTTGAATATTTGTCATTGAACAATGAACATACTACAACTTTTGAACGGTCCTACTTCTCCACATTTGTGAACACTGACAGTCGGTACTTCCGCCTACGTCAAGCGTGACCTTTTTAAGTAATTAAGTATTACGTGAAGTCATGGACGCACGCGCATGCAGAGCAGTGCAAGGCACGCATTTTTGTTTATAAAGCATATACTTTTTAGAAAATGACAGATCGTTTCGCTAGATAAGACCCTTCCTCGTCTGGTATTGTGTAGAGCTCTTTGAAGCTGCACTAAAACTGTAATTTTGACCTTAAATTGTTTGGTAGCCGTTGAAGTCCACTATAAGGAGAATAATCCTAGAATGTTTTCATCAAAAACCTTCATTTCTTTTCGACTGAAGAAAGAAAGACGTAAACATCTTGGATGACATGGGGGTGAGTAAATTATCAGGAAATTTTAATTTGAAAGTGAACTAGCCTAATCCTTTAAGCGTTTTCCTCTTGTTGTGGCCTAATGCATTAAGACTGACAGATATTTAAAGACCAAATTCGATATACAGTTTATTAATAAAATGTGTAAAGCAAACATGTACACTCTTAAAAAAGTGCCATAAAGAACCTTAACTGGTAGCCTATACCCTTTATACTCTTTTTTACAAAGAACCATGAAAAGGTTCTTCATTGCCCCATTTCTTCCAGATCAATATCCTCACATTTATCATACTATAGGCCTAAATTAAATTCTTAATTTGCATAGGATTATCTGAAATCATTCTAGTATGCTGATTTTAGGATAGATAAATTAGTTGTCAGCTGGTCAGTTATGTTGCCGCCCCGTTTTCCATGATAACTCCCTTTGCTGTTTGAATGCGACTCCAATGTTCAGCGCACGCGCCCATTAAAATAAACATCTAGAATTAGAACAAATAAACAATTTAAAATATCATTAAATTATTAGTTACATTTTAAACTCAAAATGCCATGACTACGTTATAGTGGGACATGGTGGCACTTTTATAGGCTATTTTAAGATTTTTTTTTAATTGTTTTTACGAACACTCAGCCTTTTTATTTCATTTTAAAACATGATTGCAGTATTTTTTATACTAAACTTTGCTTTTAACTAATAATTCAACCAGCGATGTCTTCTGTAAGTTAGCCTACATAATTATATAGTAAGACATTTATGTGAAATGTATATGCCTATATTTTGAGGATTTTCAGAGAGGTTTGAGTCATGCAAAACAGCATTAAAATAGATATAATAGATATAAACGGACTGATCTACTGTTTTTTTTATCAACACTATTTTATTCTAAATTCTGGATCAGACAGGACAATTTAGCTCACTTGATCTCACTTTTCAGAAAAAAAAAAAAAATGTACAACATGTTGAGTGTAAAGAACCATAGAACCTTTCTGTGCTACAAAGAACGTTTGGATATTAAAGGTTCTTCATTGAACCATACGCCCTGCCAAAGAACCATTGAAGAGTGTAAAGCCGGGCTCACACTACAGGAGTTTTAAGCCGATGCCCCAATCATATCAAGCATGTTTGATATTTAGGATTTTAAACTTTCACAATAGCCAATGCGCGACCGCAAAACAAGCTGCTGTACGGGTCCGTTAGATAGAGGAGATGGAGGAAAATGCTTGAGGAAGTTTTGCAACAACACGTCTGTATAATGTGTCGAAAACGTACCACAACCGTAAGGACAAAGAGAAGTGGTGGGGTGAATTCGCCTTAACATATGTAAGCATTGCTGAAATGTTATTGACAATCTGCTGCGTGAGATAACGTGAGGTGCTCCCTCTGGCATGAAAATCTTATCATGTCTTATCAAATCTTGCATGTTTACATGCACCCATTTGCGTCAATCCGAATGAAAACAATCTGTGCATGTTTAAGATTTGAGGGAAGAAAATCTGCGAAGATTCTCCGTATGTTTGCGCTGCAACCAGATTTCATAATCGTTTAGGATTTTTAAAACTCCTGTAGTCTGAGCCCGGCTTAAGTGTTTCCCTTAATCAAATCATGATACCAAAGAACAGCAGAACAACATGCACACTTTATTCAGTATTTTGTTTAATATTTGTTCAGTTTTTCTGTTCCTCAAATCATGATGCTAAAGAACAGCAGAACACTTCATTCAGTAAAATATGGCTAGAAATGTGTGTGACGTTCAGTTTCTGCTGCAGCTGTTGAATCTGAAGTGCAGCTGGACTCACTGAAACAGGAAGTAGAAGAGCAGAGGAGACAACAGCAGGAGGTAGCTCCCCTTATACACGCCATCTGATCAAGAGAATACAATTGAAATATATCCTGAAATTTCATAATATGTTCCTTTAAACAATCACTTGTGTTTGTAGTATTATTGTTTGTATTATTTCCCTGTTTTAAGTCACTGTGGGGAAATCAATAGCACACGATCATGTAAAGGACAATACCTGCTGCATTGCAGAGGTCAGTGTCACAGCACTGGGTAGTTACTGTCCCTCCAGTCGGGAGCTGTTGAGTCCCAGCTTCACATGTAAGTGCACACCGTTTAATTTTGATGGACACCTTAGTGTAACCTGCAAAAAAGACAAACCTCTGTATAATAAAATAATTAAACAATTCCAACATTTGCAGTTCTTTGAAAAGATCAAAAGGTATCCAGAGTAGACGCATCTATATTTGCAACTTGAATGTAAATCATCTTCCTGTTATTTTATCTATACAAAAACAGTCTGTTATGCTGCTTAATATTGCTAAGTGATATTATTTCTTATATTAGTTTAATGTATAGTCATGATCATAAACACACTGGTTTATAGCACACTTTGTTATTCTAGTTATTTACCTATAGTAGATGATGAATCGGAAGTTTCGCACATGAACAGAAACTTCATTTTGCATTATAAAATGAAGTGGATACTTTATTCATGATTTAATCTCCAGCAATATTTTCACTTTCAGTAAATTATTGCAGTAAATGTATAGTCATGATCATAAACACACTGGTTTATAGCACACTTTGTTATTCTAGTTATTTACCTATAGTAGATGATGAATCGGAAGTTTCGCACATGAACAGAAACTTCATTTTGCATTATAATGGATACTTTATTCATGATTGAATCTCCAGCAATATTTTCACTTTCAGTAAATTATTGCAGTAAATTTCCACATCATACAGGACTTACCAATGGATTGTTCTATTGTTTGGCTTTCACATTTGGAAAATCCATCTCCACATGTCTGCACTTTTACTTCACAGGAATGCGTCAGAGCAGATGTGCACGTGTAACACTTGAGAGAGTTACCTTAAAGACAGACAGAGACATTTAGTGACCTCCCTATGTGTACCAAATAATATATTATTAAATACTTGCTGTTTTTTGTACCTCCAGTGAGAAAAATGAACAGAAGAACAACAGAGATGTGCAGATCCATCATGTGCCCAGAACAGAAATGAAGTAACTAGGTTTCTGTTCGTTTTATGTCTGTTCAGAAATGGGTAGGCTTACTGGGAAGCCTTTGGTAAGTTCTAGGCTATAAATGTCTATGCGGTATTGTCAGTTATTCTTATGAAACAAGAAGGTTTTGAAACTTGTGGCATTTTTCGTGAGACAGAATAGGATGATTTTCTCTGGAAAAGCCATTTGTCTCCTTCCTTCTGCATTTCTGAACAATCTGATGGTTAATCAGCAGTGATTGTTTTCTGTTTCTTGTAATACATGCTGCTCGGTCACATTTTTCAAGAGTTGCATAGACGCGGGAAGTGGGGGTGCTGAGGGTGCTGCAGCACAGCACCCCCTGTTTTTTTTTCTGTGGGCAACTGTTTAACTGTTGGGAATAAAAGAAAAAATCGGAGTGTCTATTTACACTAAGTGCAAATAGCCCGCCTTGTTGGCAGAGGCTATTTACAGTAACTCCACCCACCAACGTATGTTTGGGATAGTCAAGATTACAAAAGACGGTCATCAGTCGTCAGGTTCAGTGACTTAGATGGTAAACTGGTGCGTTATAGACTACTAGCCTACTCTTTTTGATGCGATCAACGCGGGTTCGAATCTGCCTTTTAGTGAACTTTTTTTCTCCCTTTTCAAATTTCAAATCACATCAGAAAAGCATTTATTTTTAACCCCCCCCCCTCCGGGCGCGTACAGCACCCCCAACCTAAAACATCTTCCCACGCCCCTCAGTTGTCTCTTCCTCTCTCACACACATACAAACTTTTAATATGTTATCATTTGAGATAAATCTCTTACTGTAACAAGAAATCATTGCTTGTTTATAAAGTGAAGTTACCTGTGGCCAAGTATGGTGACCCATACTTGGAATTTGTGCTCTGCATTTAGCCCATCCAAGTGCACACACACAGTAGTGAACACACACACACACCGTGAACACACACCCAGAGCAGTGGGCAGCCATATTGCTGCGGCGCCCGGGGAGCAGTTGGGGCTTCGGTCCTTGCTCGAGGGTCCCACCTCAGTCGTGGTATTGAGGGTGGAAGAGAGCGCTGGTTTTTCACTCCCCCCACCGACAATCCCTGCCGGACCTGAGACTCGAACCTTTGGGTTACAAGTACGACTCTAACCATTAGGCCTGCAAACAAAAAATCTAAACAAAAAGTTTCTCTTAGAATCCACAACTTAATAAATATAAGTATCTATGTCTTATAACAACTAGAGAATTTATAACCCTTTTATATGGAGCTATATAGGAATCGAGTGGCTAAACCAATGAATTGCAGATGTTTTTCTTTTGTTTACTCCCACCAGATGGCACTAATCTGCCTTCAAAAATTGTGTTTCTAAAGGCATCGTCTGTATTTTAACATGAAATACTGTACTGCCATAATTGAAAAGTAATATAAAAATATTAGGATTTTTTTTTATTATTTTCAATGGGAAAAAAAGTATTATAATTATTGCATAAATAGTAATTAGTACCATGAAATTCTCTCAAAATACAAAATAAAAAATATTATTGAACAAAAATATATTACATTGATTTTACTGAAAATAAAAAAGTTACATTTCAGGTGTTCGGTCACGTTTGACCATGAACAACACAAGTGTGACCCCCAAATAACAAAACCAGAGGGTTAAGAAGGTTCCTAAAATGGTTTGGGGTGTAGTAGGGAAGGTGGGGTAAAGCAAGAACTTTACAGGAAAAGCGCATAAACTTAGTATTTTCAAGACTGAAAAATTGCTGTTTGCAATCAAAAGAAAGGTCATGGGAAAGTATTTTAGGCCAAAAACAGAATTATTGTGCATGTCAGACATGTCTCACAAAGACTGAACAGCTACGTCTCCTGAAACACAATCTATGTCCTCTGTATCAGTAAATCAAAGACAGTTCTCAAAGACATTTATGTTTGTTGCCATTATCTTTAAAATGGTTAAACAGAGGAGAACTGATCCCAAAACACCACCAGTTTTTGGTTCTTTACCCCAGTCGCCTCTCCTCACTGGGGGATTAAAGCAGCTCCATGTTTAAAGGGGTCATATTATGCGATTTCAAGTTTTCCTTTCTCTTTGGAGTGTTAAAGCTGTTCGTGAATAGATAAGATCCCTAAAGTTGCAAAGACTAAAGTTTCAAGCCCAAAGAGATATTCTTTATAAAAGTTAAGACTCGTCCGTGCCCTCCTAAAACGCCTCGTTTAAACACGCCCCCACATGTCTACGTCACTGTGTGGGAAGATTTGCATAACACCGCCCAAATGTATACCCAAAGAAAGAAGGTGTAACTTTTATTCTCGCTGTAGGATTTTTGCCGCCGCGATGTGTGCAGCTCATTTTATGGAGGACTGTTTCCTGATCCTGGGAGAGTAGACTACAATGCCAGTGTTCCGGTGAATTCAGTTCCCGTGTTTCCCCTTCAGCACGCATGCTGACCCTATACAGTCTATGATGCTGACAAATAATGCTGACCCACAGCCTGTAAGTACGTTTTCATATTTAAAGGACTTGCTGCTGACGATTCAAACGCGAGTTTTGAGCAGTGTAGAGTAGCACTTGTTGTTTGTCATTTCTCCGATCACAAATGCAGACATGCTTTTATGTTTTCGCGGCGCGATGCAACGCAACGCATAAAAAGACAGTATAAGTAATTATAATCCGTAATTATGTCCCCACTGGATGCAACAAATGCCTCGTTTATAATGGGTTTTATTGGTTTTGTCTCGTCGCGCCGGGACACAGCATCACAATATGATAAGGGGCGTAACATTTCCGTCACACGCTTGAGGAATTCGGCCAATCACAACGCACTGGATAGCTGGCCAATCAGAGCACACCTCGCTTTTCAGACCGATGAGCTTTGTAAAAATCGACGCATTTCAGAAAGGCGGGGCATAGAGGAGAAACAATAATGTACAGTATGTGAAAAAGAATGTTTTTTTTTTACCTTAAACTGCATAAACACATTGCATTACACCAAATACACAAAATAATGTTATTTTTTAGCAACGTCATATGACCCCTTTAAACTTCGGCGGTCGATACAGTAATGAGACATCACTAACTTAGGACGACAGATCGTATTTTCATTAATAAAATTATTTACTATTAATTAATCTTAGAATACTATTACCGGTGTTCTCCGCAAGATGTTACTCTTATTTATTTTGCATGAAGATTAATTAAAAAACCTGTTGATTAAATCGTTTAGAGCTAAACTACGTTTTTTCATCAATAAAATGAATGTTTCAAAGAGACTCAAAATTAAAATTAAATAATAATAATAGAAAAAAATTCAGTATTTTAACAGACATTCAGTGTTTCTGTTAACTCGTTTAGGGAGATCAGTTTATGCCTTCATTCAACCTAAAATCTAATGTTAATAAAATGTCTCATCAGAATGTCACAGCAATAAATCATATCAGGACACAAGACATATAGTACAGAGAAAACACAAGCTCTATATTCAGTACAGCGTGTCATATTGTAGAATGTGTAGAGCTGCTGGATTCAGTGCAGCAGGATGAAGGAGAGCAGAGAACAGCAGAGGAACAGGAAGCTCTGAGTGACACTCTGAGCACCGTTACACAGGTTCCCTGAACAACATGAGATGCTCTGAACATCACTAACAGATGTCATGGCATCACAAATACAGAGTTTTGGCATGAAACTCTAGATGGCGCAGTCCGATAGGTCTAGCTCAATCTGACCTGGCGACATCAGTCACATGGCAGCTGATTGGTTCTCTCCTGTATCGGTAGCAAATGAGCTTATACAGCCAGTTGAGAAATAACTGTCAGTCAAATGTTTTAATCGTTTAATTTTTGTACATTTCAGTAAATAAGTAATCAATAACAATAATGACTAGAACTCATTTGAATGTGACAAAAACAGAACACATGACAATGACAAACTTCACAATAAAATATATGAAAATATGAACAAAACCTGAAACAGACATGACATGGAGAAAACTGAAAATAAAAATGTCTAAAATTATATATTATTGAACAAGAAACAGGACAATACAACATTCTAGCAAATTATTTTCTATGAAAAATTACTTTAATATTCAAACAAAGAATAATGAGAAATGGCAGTCCTGATTTGTATTGCTTTGATATCGTAATCAAGCCAATTTAATACTACTTCCTACAAATCGGTTAGATCTTTCATATTTGAAGTGTCCATTTTTAAATAGATCTCTGTGTTGTAAAAATATATATATATATCTGTGAAAAAATGTGCACTTGTGACATACAACATGAATACATATTTTAAATAGCAGAGGATTACTTTTTTTGTTTATCTTGATATGCAGTTTCTACTAAAAATGCATTGGGCATATTTCATCACACTAAATGAAATATAAATATTTAAATGAAATAAAAACCATGTTAAGCAGAAACATGTCATCCATCTAATATCCAGTGTGTTGAATGCATGTCATATTACTGAACTTCACCCATTTTAATCCTTTAATTGAACACCACATTATACTGATGTGCAAAGAGAATAGAAACTACTCTTAGCCTGATTTCTCAATAACTTCCCATCATCAACACCAAACACAGGCTGTACCTAAGCATTCCTATGCAAACTGAAGTCTAACTGTCAGGTCCAGAGCTTTATATTGTAAAGATGTACCATAATTAAATCTCTTTTGTCATGTCTCTTACTCATCTTTGATCGGTATCAGTTTCCTGTTCAGGCTTGTTTTTGGTGAATATAATGCTAAAGTTATTTAAGTACTGATCTTAATGCAAAACATAAACTAATGTGGTGCTGCTAGTTATAAACTTTGAGAATCAGTTTGTGGTTAAAGGTATAGCGCACCCAAAAGTGAACATTCATTTACTCGCCCTCATCAATGCATACTATTCTTGTGTATATTATTCTGATATAGTTTCTGTTGTATTCATGGGGCAGAATAGGGATACTGTATGTTTCAGAGAATTCACATCCGTCCTGCCCAAACACACCTTCCTGGAAGTTTCCAGTAATCCTGAAGACCTTGATTAGCTGGTTCAGGCGTGTTTAATCAGGATTGGAGCTCAACTCTGTGGGACAGTGGCCCTTTAGGAGCAGGATTGGCAGGCACATATTACGTTACAGATTTAGTTTACTCTCCTAATTTCTACTTCCTGAAGCTGTCATTATCTCATGAAGGCCTGTCCCATTTTCTAGGTTATAAAATGAGCACTGAAACACATTATTTCATTTGTCTCAAAGATGGATGTACAATTCTCAGTTTTTCTTCTGTTCATTTTTTTCACTGCAGGAAAAAGACAAATCACTTTAATTTCTATTTTATGCGAACATAAATAATTGGATTTCTCTCTCACTATGTCTCTCTTTCATTACTTCAGGACACTCTCTCGACTGTTATGAGTGTGCAGGTTTGTCTTGTGCGGATCAAAATGTGAGAGCATGTCCTGAACCTCACGCATGCTTCAGTTCAACAACTGTAACACAATATGGTAAGTCCAGTGTGATTAACTGAAACTTACTGTTATATTTAAATGATGGGGGTGCAGCAAATATATATTTAAATGCAAATATAAGATTTATGATTGCAAGCATAGCATATACAGATTTCTGGTACTTCATCACTCAGAAAGTTGTTAATAATACAATTTGTAATGGAAAAATGTTTGAAATCAGAAAAATGCTACATTTAAGTGCTTCACTAGTGGTCTTTTAGACCTAAGCGATCATTTTATATTGCAAATTTTGTCGTTTCTCTTCTGCTTTGATTAGAAAGATTTAATATATATATACAGTATATATATATATATATATTTTTTTTTTTGTTGTTGACATATTTATAAATAAATTCACCATTAAAATTATGAGCAGTTGTCATTCCTGTATAATTGATGTTTTTTAGGAGACACCACCACAAAAGTGAAGGTTAAAAGTTGTCTTCCATATGCCTGTAGTGGTTACACAAACATCAGCATTCCAAATGTCTTTTTTCTGCTGTGACACGGACCTTTGTAACGCCCAAGATGCTCCAGGTATTGTACTTTCCTGAACATGTGCAAATGACTATCTTCAACACTGATTTTACATCCATAGGACATTCAATTCATAATTGTAGAAATTAATTGAATGGAGCAGTTAGTGTTGTTTCATTAGAAGTTATATTTTGTACAGATCCTTCTGTAGATTCCAGTTCTACCAATCTTGATATCCCCAATGATGTTCCCAATGGAAAGAAATGTTTCTACTGCGATATGCAGAGCTGCTCAAGCATAAGGGACTGTTCAGGGAGTGAAGACCACTGCTTTACAGCAACAGGTGAGAATCTGCTAAAGGAAGAAAGTTAAAGTCATTATTTGTGCCTCCTCATGATTTGTGGGTCTTATTTTGAGCATTTGATAGAGTTCACATGTGCCAGTGGGCAGCTTACACAATTATTTGATGTCACTTCAGCTTTCACTCCTAACTCTTTTCTTTCTTTTCAGTGAATTTTGGAAGCCAGTTATTTGCTGCAAAAGGCTGTATCTCTAAAGAGGCTTGTGATGCCTCAGCATTGCTTCCTAGTGGTCAGGGCATCACATGTTGTGTGGGGAACCTGTGTAACAGTGTTAGTGTCAACCAGAGTGTCACCCAGATCAACATCCAGAGCATCACCCAGAGTCCTGACGGTGCTCAGAGCGTCACTCAGAGCTTCCTGTTCCTCTGCTGTTCTCTGCTCTCCTTCATCCTGCTGCACTGAATCCAGCAGCTCTACAGATTCTACAATGATCATGCTGTATTGAATACATGGCTTGCATTTTCTTTAGTATTCTGATGTGATGAACTGAAAAGTATACAGGAAATTAATGTAAATATACCAGTATATATATATATATATATACACACGTGATTGAACCTGGAGCCAATGAAGTTGCTGGAGTACTGGGGTAATGTGATGGCGTGAGGATGTATAAGACAAAACTCGCATAGCTGAGTATATATATATAAATATACTCAGCTACGCGAGTTTTGGTTGACTTGTTATTTTGTTTGTACATGTAGCGCTTTAAGTATTAAGAAAGGAGCATTACATATAAAATGTATTATTATTATTATTATCGTTATTGTTACCCTAAAGCTTCATGCTTCAATTCCAAAAGAAAGTACAACAATAAAAGTATTTTAATAATAAAATAATAAAAATAATAAGATATAATAGTAAATAACTTATAATAAAATTGTAAAAAAAAATCATGACATTTTATAATTGTTTTCTATATTACTTTTATTTGTCTAATAAAGAATGATGATCAATAATACTTATAAATACTTAATATTTTCCACAGTTCATAAAGATGAGTACTTTTGTTCAAATAGGTTGAAACAGCAGCTTAGTAGAGTTGAAACTCGTCTTTAATAAAGTAACGTTAGCCAAAAAGAACTAATTTCTAATGTTAAAATGTCTTAAAAGACATCTTTCTGCAAAAAAAATAAAAAATAAAAATCAGCTCTTCGTTTTATTCATGTTATGTATTATACAACTGATTATTTGCTATTTTAAAGCAGAACATCTAAAAGTTAAATACCTCACAGTTCATTAGTCAAGCACTGAAAAATTAAGATTAAGATTTCACATTAGGAATAGGCTAGTTAGTCTCTAAAACACTGAACAACAGTTTTAAACGGCTAAAAACACTGAACAATTAAAACTAGCTCATTGTTCAACTGTAAAAACAAAACAGCTTTTCAGACAGCACTGTTATTCTTTAAATACGATAGTGACATCTAGAGGACAAGACTGGTAATAACAGGATTCACGTTAATCAGGATCTGGGGCCCGTTCTTCGTACGTCGCTAACTCAGTTAGCTGGATTTGATTGTTGACGATTTGGCATGATCTTGGATTGTTTGGTTCTTCGAAGCTCATCCCGGAGTTGCTGTCATAGCAACAGGTCCATAAGCTTAAACCTGCTTGGGAGCAGGCTTATTTTATGTAAACAGAATTTGATTCTTCCTGATCTTTTTAAGCAGAAATTATACTTAAAATCTGTCCGCTACCACCGCTACTTTACTACAAGAGTACCCTACTAATCCAGGGACAATAATTTAAAATAATGATCATTTAAAAATTAATTTAAAGATAATATAATAACGTTGTGTAGTCTTTAATACTATAGACACAGCCAGTTAATGCTGTCACATAACAAATCTGTTCAAATATAAAATTAAATGAATTGCTAATTACTACATTG